ACAACAACAATCATTTAAGACTGGGGACACTCCGTTCTCACCAGTGCCAGGGTTTTCATAGGAGGCGGGCAATACCCCCACTTTGTGGGGGGGCCGGTTCAAGCTCTACCAAATTTCCAAACGACTCTTCGCCACCACCCACACCCAGCTTCCCGCCCTATGACGTTCGGACACTTCACTTCGTGGCATGCGGACGACCGTGGCTACTATTCAGGGCCCCGCGGCCGACGACGACGGCGTGCGCGCGCGAAGAAAAAACGAATGTGTCCCGCATGGTATTATTTGACAGGGATGATGGCCCTGGCAGGTGCGCAACCGTTGTCGCAGAAGTTCGAAAAAGTTGCTCGCAAAAGCCCGTTTGACAGAAATGTTTAAAAAGTGTTGGGTTTCCTACGAATCCGCAAGAGCGCGCGGGATGAGATTTTGACATTTTTTTGTTGAAAAACCATTGGTTTTTTGATGTTTTTATGTTAAAATCGCTCCGAACACTAAGCTTTTGGAAGGATTTCGTCTTGCGCGCGCGAATGTCCACTTTACCTTATTTTTTGCAAGGGATTCTTGAAATTTGATTATATTAGAACAAGAAATGTCATTTTATAGTGTTTTTTGCAAGGGAAAACGGATTACAACAAAACAACCGGATCTGGATCACATCGTTTTACCTGAGGCTTCCTCACGAAAATGATGAAAATGTAGCTGCGGCCTAGGCGGCGCAGGGGGGGCGTGCACCAGGGGGCCCAACAATAATTATTCTTTAGAAGTAATAATATTCAACAACAACAACAACAACAACAACATCCATTTTGAGACTGTTCGCTCTTATCTGCTCAAATCTCATTCAACGTGTATTTCCCGAGCCCTCGACACCCGCCCTCTTCGTTTTCGATCGTACCACTTTTGGGGGGCATAAAGTTCTTCCTTGCAGGCCGGGCCCGGGCAAGCGGCGGGACGGCCGCGGACAGTCGGCCTGGCCACCGGCAGCGCTGACCGGCGCCAACCCGACCCCAAGAGGGACTGACAGGGGACCGACCACAACAACGACGACGAAGACGACGTCGACGAGCGAAAGCGAGAGCGAGAGCGACAGCGGGGCCACGAAGGGCAGGAAAGGGGCCACAAAGGGCGACAGCGGGACCACGAAGGGCATGCTTAGGGGGCCACGAAGGGCGCGAACGAGCGGGGGCCACGAAGGGCAGATAATGCAGGGCCACAGATGGCAACGACGGGGCCACGTGTAGCAACGGGGCCACGCAGGACAGCGAGGGGGCCACAAAGGGCGACAGCGGGGCCACGAAGGGCATGCATGTGGGGCCACGACGGGCGCGAACAAGCGGGGGCCACGAAGGGCATGCGTACATTGGGCCGCAGATGACAAGGATGGGGCCAATGAGGGCAGCAACGGGGCCAAAAAAGGCAGCGAGGGGGCCACGAAGGACGACAGCGGGGCTACGAAGGGCATGCATATGGGGCCACGAAGGGCGCGAACGAGCGGGGGCCACGAAGAGCATAGATGTATGGGGCCACGAAGGGCAGCGAGGGGGCCACGATAGGCTGCAACGAGGCCACGAAGGGCAGCGACGGGGCCACGAAGGGCTGCGACGGGGCCACGAAGAGCAGCGAGGGGGCCCGCAAGCGCTGCAACGGGGCCACGAAGGGCAGCGACGGGGCCACGAAGAGCTGCAATGGGACCACGAAGGGCAGCGAGGGGGCCACGATAGGCTGCAACGAGGCCACGAAGAGCAGCGACGGGGCCACGAAGGGCCACGAAGGGCAGCGAGGGGGCCACGAAGGGCTGCAACGGGGCCACGAAGGGCAGCGAGGGGGCCACGAAGGGCTGCAACGGGTCCACGAGGGGCAGCGAGGGGGCCACGAAGGGCTGCAACGGGGCCACGAAGGGCAGCGAGATCCCGACTCCTAAGTAAGCTGTGAGGGAGTCCTACGCGTGAGCGCGACTCCTGGGTGCCTGAGAGTCGGGAGCGCGGCGCTTGAGTAAATTGCAAGGAATTCCAACGCGAGAGCGCGATTCTTAAGTAAATTGCAATCAAGTCCCCAGCGAGAGCGCGACTCCAGAGCGCCGATAAAGCGATTCCTGAATACATTGTACGGAAATCCCAAGCGAGAGCGCGAATCCTGCGTAAAATACGAGAAATTCTCAGGCGGGTCATGGCCAGGATGGTTTCGCGACAAGCAGCTTCACGACAAGGAAGAGACATTTTCACGACAAGCAAGCCCACGTTCGCCGCCCACTTTCGGCGCCCACTTTCGGCGCCCACTTTCGGCGCCCACTTTCGGCGCCCACTTTCGCCGCAAGCTTTCGGCGCCCACGCCCACTTTCGGCGCCCACTTTCGGCGCCCACTTTCGGCGCCCACTTTCGGCGCCCACTTTCGGCGCCCACTTTCGCCGCCCACTTTCGGCGCCCACTTTCGGCGCCCACTTTCGGCGCCCACTTTCGGCGCCCACTTTCGCCGCAAGCTTTCGCCGCCCACTTTCGCCGCCCCCTTTCGGCGCCCACTTCCGGCGCCCACTTTCGGCGCCCACTTTCGGCGCCCACTTCCAGCGCCCACTTCCGGCGCCCACTTCCGGCGCCCACATTCGGCGCCCACGTTCGGCGCCCACTTTCGGCGCCCACTTTCGGCGCCCACTTTCGGCGCCCATTTTCGGCGCCCACTTTCGGCGCCCACTTTCGGCGCCCACTTTCGGCACCCACTTTCGGCGCCCACTTTTGGCGCCCACTTTCGGCGCCCACTTTCGCTGCCCACTTTCGGCGCCCACTTTCGGCCGCCGAAAGTGGGCGCCGCAAGTGGGCGGCGAAAGTGGGCGCCGAAGATGCTCGTCGTGAATAAGCCGTGCCTTCTCGTGTTTCAGTTTTCTCTTGTCGCGTTTCAGTTTTCCTAGTCGTGAGAACACCCGAGCTTTGCGGGGGTCCTGGCCAAATTGTGAGGAAGTCTCAGGCGGGAGCAATTGTTCCCCATATCCTAAGGATGGGGTTCTTGTTATTCCCCATATCCAACAGGTTCTTGTTATTATCCGACCGCGCCGGGCCACCTCACCATACCATGACGACGACCATGGCATGGTGAGGGTATGATGTGAGTATGATGGTGATGGTGAATGATGGATGAGTATGATGATGATGAGGATGCTGATGCTGATGCTGATGATGATGATGATGATGATGATGATGACGATGAGCAGATGATGAGGATGTATCGAGCGGCGCGCTGGTCTTAGCACTCCTAAGGGGGGGCCGCCAGGGGTATTGCACGGCCTCCGTTCGCGCCCAAATGGCGGGGATGTCTCAGGCGGTTTGCTTGTTCTGGTCCCCTTTTATCCTCTGCTTTCGGAGCAGATTTTGAGGATGTCTCGTGCGAGGCGCCTCCTACGGGGGGGCCGCCAGGGGCATTGCACGGCCTCCGTTCGCGCCCAAATAGTGGGGATGTCTCAGGCGGCTTGCCTGTTTTGGTCTCCAACATCCGCCGCTTTCCGAGCACATTTGGAGGATGTCTCGAGCGAGGCGCTCACTTTCGCCCCCCAGGGGGGCCAGATTTTGAGGGTGTCTCGATCGGTTTGCCTGTTTGGGTGGCCAGACTCGTGGGCGCATATTCTCCCCAGGATGCCACAGGAGGCCCCAGCAGGCTTCAGGGGGCCACATGAGGTCCCAGGAGGCATCAGGAGGCCGCAGGAAGATCCAAAAGGCCACAAGATGCCCCAAGAAGCTCCAGGAGGCCCCAGGAAGCTCCAGGAGGCCTCAGGAAGCCACAGGAGGCCCCAGGAGGCCACAGGAAGCGCCAGGAGGCCCAGGCAACAGGAGGCCCCGAGAGGCCCCAGGAGAAAGAGGCCTCAGAAGGCAACAGGAGTGGCTCCATTCCCATGTATTTTACGTATGATCCTATAGATTGGGCCTCACCTGCAGCACGAATCCTTGATGCCATATGTATGATTCTATATATTGTCATTGCCCGGTGTATACAATCCTAAATGTTTTACGTCGGTTCCTATAGATTGGGCCTCCCCTGGGGCACGAATCCTTAAAGTTTTACGCGCGCGCGTATAGACTGCCATTCTCCTTTGGCTCCAATCCGCAATGTTTTATGTACGTCTGTTCCAATAGATCGGGCTTATCCTTTTTTCTTACCTCAGTCTAGATGCCCCCTAGCTGCTGAGCGACCACATACAAACAAAAAAGTTGAATCGATGATGAGTCGACGTCGCAACCAATGGCCAGCACCTCGAGCCACGCAGTCGAAACCGCGTCGCGCGCGGTACCGCTTTGCCACGCAGGGAATGAACTAAGAACACTGCGCTGCGGTCGAGGGTCTCGACAGAAGCCTCTGCAACTGGGGGTCACCCAGAGCAAAGGAGCGGCTCTTCAAACCTACATGCTAGCAGATCATCGGATCGGCGGCCAACGCCTCACAGAAGACGCCCCTAGCGGCAGGGGCGCGGGGAATGTGCTTGGTTGGCATTGCGGCAGTCGATAGCGCTGGGCGTCTGCTGCTGGTAATCGTCCCCGCTGTTGTACATCCACTGGCAGCTGTTGCCCGGCAAGTCAACGATGTCGAAGCAGTAGCGCTTGGTGCACGGGCTCGGTTCACAAATCGGGCAGCCGTTCCTGTACAGGTTGCAGTCCCGGCACATGCACGCCCCTTCGGTGGCTTGTGCGCAGTCGTCGCCGGGAGGAGTCTTCATCCACCTGCACCCTTTTGCCATCGGGCCTGGCACGTCGGTGGCGTCGCATACCGTGCCCGTTGCGTTTGCGCCCTGTCCGTGCTTGTGGACGTCCGCCTTGCGCGCCAAGAGGGCGGCCTCGTCGACGCCACACTCGCCCGCGCCGCACGTCTCGTCGCCGGCGGCCCTGGTGGCCAGCAGCAGGAGGAGGCAGGCGGCGGCGCGGCCCCCGTGCATCGCGGCGGCGGGGAGACTTCAAAGCTGCCTCTGCGCGAGCTGCTCGAACGCTGGCGACTCCGAGGCTCGCTGCCGGGCCGAAGTGGCTTGAGCCTAAATGGCTACGGAATAGATCGGGCTTCTCCTGGGGCACGAATCCTCCCCAGGAGGTCCCAGGAGGCTCTAGGAGGCTGTAGGAGGCTACGCGAGGCTCCAGGAGGCCTCAGGAGGCCACTCGAAGCCCCAAGAGGCCCCAGGAGGCCCCAAGAGGCTCCTGGAGGCCCCAGGAAGGCCCAGGAGGTCTCTGGAGGCCCCAGGAGGCCCCAGGCTCCTGCGCAGAGACGCGCTCGTACTACCGAGACTCATTCACGCTCCCATCCGTTCGAAGTTTGATTCATGACCAAACCGTCACGACTCAAGCCCGCTTATATTCGAAAGTTCTTGCGCCTAGACTCTCACGGCGGACAAGTCCATGCGAATAGATGCACATATGGGGAGCTCCACGCAGTGAGTAATTACTTTGACCGCGCGGAGAACGAGAGAACACACCTGCCACCCTCAGGTCATCATTCTCTGACCCACTCACATGTAGACCCACTCATACTCAGACTCACTAATACTCAGATGCACTCGCTCTTAGATTCCTGATACTTAGGTTTCTCATGCTCGGGATCACTCATATGCAGACTCACTCACACGCATGGTACTTCCGCGCTCAGACTCTCTCTCTCTCTCTCTCTCTTTCTCTCTCACACACACGTTGTGAGGATGTCTCAGACGAGGCGCTGGATTCTGTACTCACAAGGGGGGGCGCCAGGGGGTATATCACAGGCCCGTTCGCGCTCAGATTGGGGGGATCTCTCAGGCGGTTTGCTTGTTTGGGTGCTCAACGTCCTCGGCTTTCGGAGCAGTTTCCGAGGATGTCTCGAGCGAGGCGCTGATTTCAGCACCCCCAAGGAGAGGCCGCCAAGGGTGTATTGCACACCTCCGTTCGCGCCAGAATGGCGGGGATGTCTCGAGCGGGGTGCCTGATTCAGTGCTCAAAATCCTCTGCTTTCGAAGCAGATTTGGAGGATGTCTCGAGGAGGCGCTGATTTCAGAACCCCCAAGGGGAGGCCGCCAAGGGTGTATTGCACACCTCCGTTCGCGGCATAATGGCGGGGATGTCTCGAGCGGGGTGCCTGATTCAGTGCTCAAAATCCTCTGCGTTCGAAGCAGATTTGGAGGATGTCTCGAGCGAGGCACTCATGTTCGCCTCCATCTGGGGCCAGGTTGTGAGGATGTCTCGAGCGGTTTGCTTATTTTGCTGGCCAGACTCGTGGGCACGGATCCCCTTCAGGATACCACAGGAGGCCACATGACGCTCCAGGAGGCCACAGGACGTACCAGGAAGTATCAGGATGCAACAGGAGGCTACAAGAGGCTCCAGGATGCTCCAGGAGGCCCCAGGAGGCCCCAAGAGGGTCCAGAAAGCTCCAGGAGGCTCCAGGATCCTCCAGGATGCCACAGGAGGCCACAGGAAGCGCCAGAAGGCACCAGGAGGCCCCGGAAGGCACCAGGGGGCCCCAAGAGTCCCCAGGCAGGAGCAGGAGGCATCAGAAGGCCACGGGAGTGGCTCCAATACCATGTGTTGTACGTCTGCTCCTATACATTGTGCTTCCCCTGAAGCACGAAACCTCGGTGTTTTACGTATGTGTCTATAGATGTGGCCTCCCCTGGGGCACGAGTCCTTGGTGTGTTACGTGTGTTCCTATAGATTGCCCTTTTCCTGCGGCTCCAATCCGTAGTGTTTTACGTACGTCTGTTCTTACATTTTGGGCCTCTCCTGGGGCGCCCCACGAGGAAACAGGAAGCCCCAAGAAGCCACAGGAGGCCCCAAGAGGCTCCAGGAGGCCCCAGGAAGCCCCAGGAGGTTTCAGGAGGCCCCAGGAGGCCCCAGGCTCATGCGCAGAGACGCGCTCGTAGTACTGAGACTGATTCACACTCCAACTCATTCACACATAGTTTCACTCCCAGACAGTCAATATTAAGCCCGTGAATATTCGGAAACTCTTGCGCCTAGACACTCACGGCGGACAGGTCCATGCTAATAAATGTACATTTGGGAAGCTCCATGCAGTGAATAATTGTTGTAACCCGGGGGCCAACAACGCAATTTGAGCCCCGTGACTTTCCTTCTTTTTTTTAAATTTTTGTATATAAAAAATGCGAGCCCCAGGAGAAGCACTTCAACTGAAAAAGCACAACGGTCACCGGAGAGGGATCAACAATAATCAGTTTTCGATTGTAGCAACAACAACAACAACCACCACAACAACAACAACAACAACAACACAAGGACAACCTCTCAAGCCACCCCAGCGGGGCCCGTGGTGGTGTCGTCGCCCACGGGGCGAGCGCACTCCCCCAGGCCACACGATGCAGTTGTTGCCCCCGGGGGGGGGGGGGGCAACGCGCAACACCTCTGTCACGCGCTGACGTAAATCTAAATGTGTTTCCGAATCTCCGTGGGCTGTTCCCCACGCACTCCTGTGTCCGAAAACCGACCGCGCGCCAGCGAGGCCAGCTCCTCCTCTTATAGGACTCCGATGGAAACCTGCAGGACCCTGTAAGGATCCTATGGGCTTCCTATAGGGTTCCGATGGATTCCTGTAGGACCCTGTAGGGATCCCATAGGGCCCCTCTCGGATTCCTATAGGGCTGCTATGGAATCCTGTAGGGATCCTATGAATTCCTACAGGAATCCTACGGCATCCTGTAGGACCCTATAGAGATCCCATAGGATTCCAATAGTATTACAATCGGATTCCTATAGGCTTCCGGTGGAACCCTGTAGGACACTGAAGGGACCCTATAGGGACCCAAAAGGACCCCAATAGGATTCCTGTTGGAATCCTATGGAATCCTGTAGGACCGACCCTGTAGGGATCCTATAGGACCCCAATGGGATTCCTATTGGAATCCCATGGAATCCTGTAGGACCCTGTAGGGATCCTATAAGATTCCAATAAGAGTCCCATCGGTTTCCAATGGAATTCCTATGGAATCCTGTAGGACCCTGCACGGACCTTATGGGATTGCAATGAGATTACAATCGGAATCCGATGGAACCCTGTAGGACCTTGTAGGGACCCGATGGGTTCCCAATGAGATTCCAATACGGTTCCTATGGGATCCTCTAGGACCGTGTAGGGATCCCACAGGATGCCAGTAGTATTACAATAAGATGTATATGGGATCCTGTAGGACCTTGTAGGGACCCTACAGGATGTCCAATAGGATTCCAAGTGGATTATTATGGAATCCTCTAGGACCATGTAGGGATCCTATAGGATCCCTACAGGATTCTATTTGGTGTCCGATGGAATCCTGTAGGACACTGCAGGGATCCTAGAGGTTTTCTCGCGGATTCCAATATGATTGTCATGGAATCCTGTAGGACCCTGTCGGGATCCTATAAGATCCTACAAGATTCCATTTGGTTTCCTATGGATTCCTGTAGGACCCTGTAGGGATCCTATAGGATTCCAATAGGATTCCTATAGGGTTCCTACGGAATCCTGTAGGACCCTGTGGTGATCCCGTAGAATTCCGATAAGAGACCTATGGAATCCTGTAGGATTCTGTAGGAATCCTATAGTATTCAAAAGGAATTCCGACGGAATCCTTTAGAGGGGTGCGCCGAAATCAAGTTTCGGTGGGGCTCCCTGAGCCACGATCCTCGACAGGGGTGCGCCGAAATCAAGCCTCGGTGGAGCTCCCTGTGGGGCCAGGGCCACGATCCGTGAGAGGGGTGCGCCCTTTGGGGCCTGTATGGGACTCCGCAGCAGCCCCGAAAGGACCTTCCGAGCAACGCCGCCGGCCCTGCAGCGGCCTGGCGAGGCCTCGTGGCGTTGCTCGGACCAGGGGCCCTGCGGGGCCCGTGCGTGGCCCCGTGGCGTTGCTTTGGGGGGGGGTCGAGCAACGGGCCTCCAGTAGCGTCCTCGCGAACAACAAAAACAGCAACAGCAACAACAACCAGAACAACAACAACAACAACAACAACAACAACAACAACAACAACAACAACGACAACAACAACAACAACAACAACAACAGCAGCAGCAGCAGCAACAACAACAACAACCACAACAACAACAACAACAACAACAACAACAACAGCAACAACAACAACAACAACAACAACAACAACAACAACCAACAACCAACAACCACAACAACAACAACAACAACAACAACAGCAGCAGCAGCAGCAACAACAACAACAACAACAACAATCACTTTACCCGAACGCTCAGTGTTCTCACCAGTGCCAGGGTTTTCATGCGACGCCAGCCAATACCCCCACTTTGTGGGGGGGCAGTGCAAGCTCTACCAAATATCCACACGACTCTTCGCCACCACCCACACCCAGCTTCCCGCCCTATGACGTTCGGACACTTCACTTCGTGGCCTGCGGACGACCGTGGCTACTACACTGGCGTGGAGTACACACCCACAGAAGTTGTTAAGCCTACGTTCGTACACCCACAGAAGTTGTTAAGCCTTGTTAACCCACAGAAGTTGTTAAGCCTTCCACAGAACATCTGTTGCATATGATGCATATGGTACATGATACACATGATACACATGATACGTACTCACAAGATAGTTGATCACATCTTTAGGGCAAATTCCTGAGGGATGTGGGAATACACAAGAGAGAGAGGATATGGTTGTCCCGATGGTTGTCTCGATGGTTGTCCCGATGGTTGTCCTGATGGTTGTGGTTGTCCCGATCGTTGTCCCGATGATTGTCCCGATGGTTGTCCTGATGGTTGTGCTTGTCCCGATCGTTGTCCCGATGACTGTCCCGATGATTGTGCGATGGTGGAGATGGTTTTTGGAGATTTCGGCGTGCGCGCGCGAAGAAAAAACGAATGTGTCCCGCATGGTATTATTTGACAGGGATGATGGCCCTGGCAGGTGCGCAACCGTTGTCGCAGAAGTTCGAAAAAGTTGCTCGCAAAAGCCCGTTTGACAGAAATGTTTAAAAAGTGTTGGGTTTCCTACGAATCCGCAAGAGCGCGCGGGATGAGATTTTGACATTTTTTTGTTGAAAAACCATTGGTTTTT